ATATTCTGCACAGATTAGAGTTGACAGCCAGGTATGGTGCACATGCATATAATCCCCTTAGTTCGTCGGGTCAAGAAAAAACATAAACAAGTTCTTTCCCAGCCCAGGATACACAACAAGTTCAAGGTTACCTGAAATACACAGGGCACCCCTATCTCAAAAACGTAAAAGAAAGATAAATCGGAAAGGATCTAAACATATAGATAATAAAGTACAGGCTTAGATTTCATGTTGCAATATACTATAAATTCTTTAGATCGCATCCTCAATATAATTGTATAACTAATACCACTGAAGCAACTATAAATGTGAGAAATACTTTTTACAATCCCTTTTGTAAAACAAAGGCCGGCACTCTAAATTTCAAATACAAAATTAAAAAGTAAAGAGAAATTTCCCTTCCCATTTCCTGGGACACACTGCAGAGGTAAAGTCATATAAGTCTGAACACAAGACAGTAGTTAGATATATTAAATTTATACATATCAAAAATAATTCTGCTTTACTGCAAAATGAGATTTGATACAGTAGACAGTACAAATGAATAGGAACAGAACATCGACGACACATTTATGGTGGAAAACCGTACATTTTACCAAGTAAACATGGCCTTTCATCACAAACATTCAAAGAAGCACTCTGGGCAGATGTAAGGCAAAATTACAAAATGAGAAATAGTGACACATGGAAGAAAGTATAAGAAAGTCACTTTCTCATCTGATAAGAATCAAAACTCTTCAGAGAGATATTTCTAAAGAAAGAAATTTTAAAGTGATTGCATAAATATACAAAAAGTAACATGATTCTGTTTGGCAAAGAGTGCACTTGATGAAATTAATCTACAGATTAAAAATTACAGAAGGTATTTTTTTTCTCTCCAAGTGACACATTACTAGAAGAGTAAGTAGCTTTTTAAAAAAACAATCTTTGGCACAAATATGAACACTTAAGATAAGCAAACAGTATACTGAAGGGTTACACAGGAACGGAGTAAAAAGAAGGCATAAAAGACAAGAAAAGTGTAAATGAATAACAAACCAGTAAAATTCATCCACTTTGAAAACCCCTAGAGTTAGTATACAGAAGAAATAAGAATTTCTGCCCCCTGGTGGTAGTGGTGGGGAACGTGCGCTTTAGACTCCAAATTCACACACACTCTGGGCAGGAGCAAGCCTGTTCCTGAGCACCAGGGGCATTTTCTTTAACCTGTTTCTAGGCAGCACTAAAGAGAACGCTCCAGTGCATCTGCATCACTGAAGGAACTTGAAAAGCCTGTTTTCTCATAACTTTGAAGAAGGCAAATGAGGTGTTATGTTAAACCCACATTTTCTTGGGAGTGGAATCACTAGGGGCTGAAGATGTTTCATTTAAGGGGTGTAGTGAACACATTAGCTCAGGGATAGCAGCATGACAGCACAGACGGACCACACGTGGTAATATTTTGCTAACTCTGCATTACAAACCGAAGCTCAGTAACACAAAAATCACAAAAGTGTACCTGAACACTTTTTCTCTTCAATTTCCTTTTGCCAGACTGGGTCTCACTGTGTAGCCCAAGCTGGCCTCATACAATGTAGCCTACCAGGCTGGGCTCAGACTCATCACAGCCCTCCTGATTCAGCCTCCTAAGTGTGGGGATTACATGCATGTGCCGCCATGCCAGGTGCTTCTTCTCTTCTCCTCAACCCTCACTCCTTTTAAGATTCTGCTGGAGCAAAACCCACAGAGGCCTTCACAGATTGCTGAGCTGTGATGACACACACAGGAGTGTAGAGTCCAGATCTGGGGTGAGTGCCATGAAGCTCTGTGCTTTACCTCAGCTGTCCCCTTCTACAGAAGCCGCTCCCACAGGCTTCTCCCGGATCCCACCTGCCAGAGCCGTCTATAGAGTGTGTGAATTCAGGAGAACTCAGGGGAATCGCAGGGATGCAAACTCCACATATGGGGCACAGAAGAAATGCTTACATTGATCTGTTTCCCTAGAGAGAGATGGAAGTCATCAAAAGGGAAAAGAGCCCGAGTCTAGGAGGTGACAGTTCAGAGAAGACATGAGCTCAGCCTCTTAAGGCAAGGAAAGCTAGTGGAAAAACAGACAAGCGGAGCCAGTAAGAATGGCTGCCACAGTCAGCATCAAACTGAATTAAGAAACGGAACTGTTTCCTCTGCAGGACTACAGACTTGGTGTCTTGTGGTAAAACTGCTCGGTCTTGTATCTGATCACTGACAGTTGTATCCTAGCCCTGTGTCCTCATGGCACAAGCCAGGCAGTACAACGAGAGTGGTGCACCTCTTGATAGTACTAAGATATGTAAATAAACAACAAAACAGAAATAAAACCAGAAAAGAAAAGACAAAGCACAGCTTTGCGTGTGTGTGTGTGTGTGTGTGTGTGTGTGTGTGTGTAAACACTACTTGGAATGTATCCCTGTTCAGTTTCTTGGGAGAACCTCACTAATACAACATTCAACACAGGGTACTACCTGATCAGGTTCATATTCTACAAAGAAGCACTGTGCAAACTGGTGAAACAATGAGGCTATATATTCTGCTTGAATCACCAAGCTCCGCAGAAAATATCCCGCTCAACACAGGCAGCTCAAACTATAGTGTATTGAACTGGTGCTGAATATACATAACTGAGCAAACATTGCTGGAGCCTCCCTCCTTCAAAACTGATAAACACACTTATATTAAACTGTATTAGAGAAAAGGTATGAAACACATAGCTTATTTCATAGTAAAGTACCAAACACTTCATGTAATTTATTGAATATGCTACACTGAAAATCACTGGATGCTTTTGCTTGTGTCCTGTCACTCACAGCAGAACTCAGTGCTGCTGCCCAGCTTCTGAAGCAGGTACTGTACCACAGAGCAGAAGTGCCAACGTTATAAAACTCAAAATCCAAGTAAATTTTACATCGAGTTCTTATCACCTTTTCCTTTACTGTTCAGTGATGGACTGAATTTGGGCCCTTGCACGTTATACAAGTTACTTTAAACTGGACACACAGTCCCATTGATTGTACTTTATATCGAATCTGGATCTTGCTGCATTATCCAGCCTGGCCTTGCTATTGCACTAATCCTATTTTCATGGTGCAGTTGGCTGAGATGACAGGGGGCAGCCTCATGCCTCACTGAAGATTTATTTAACCAAGCATAGTAATCCTGGGTCATAGTAGCCAGTGAGGAATCCCTAACACTTGCCTCTCATCTCAGCACTCTAGAAGGCTGAAACAAGATCAAAAGTTTTCTTTAGCCACGGCAATGTACCGAGATGTGTTCTCAAAAATTTAAAACCATTACAAGGTGTGGAGAATGCAGTTCAGAGAAAAAACCCTGTACAATAAAACATTCTGTACCATCAAACATCAACCACACTAAAAGTCTGTTGCATCCTGGAGAAATCTTATTCCATCAAACTTTGATGATGCTATCCACCAATTTTAAAGACAGACAGGTCAGAAGTTTCCTAATTTACATTTTTTCCTCAAAACCACAAGGGACATGTGTACTGGCACACACCCCTAGTTTCCATAGTGAGGAGGCTGAGTCACAAAGATTGCCACAAGTTGGAGGCTAATATGACCTGCACAAGAAGGGCAAGAGCAGTATGAATTACATAGGAGCACCCTAACGGAAACAAAACAAAACATACATTGACTAGGCAGCCTCATCAATGCTAGAAGACTTATCTATCTAAATTTTACTAAGTCTTCTTCCTTAACGCCATCATATTGGACTTATCCTCTGATTGTGGCAGCACACAGTTCTTAACTGTCACACTAGCAATCGGACCTCAAGGAAGACCTGTCTATAGTGGGTGTGGATTTCACCATCACCCTCCCCTTCTCTCCCACTTTTGTTCTTTCCATTTGTTCCTCCCTGCAGACAACCCTCATATCACTAACCACACATATGGCGGCAGAGCTGAGCCTTTACTCCGCTACAATATTCCATTAATATACAGTCCACCTCAACCAGCATTGCAATTCTTAAACAGGGCAAAGGGCAAATTATCTGAGATGCTACCACTCTCCTTTCCACTCCTACCAAGACATGGCCATGTCTAATGATTCTCACCCTGTATGTGTAAGAGGTATCCTCCTCTGGAAGTTTTACTTAGCTGTACTTTCTCCCGGCCTTGCTAATACCGCTATATGCCTTCCACATCTTTCGGCATGCTGCACCATGTAGGAAGGAAGGCCCATTTATGCGGTCCCTCTTGTTAGCAGAGGTGCCACGTACATCTTAAAGATTATGATTGTTTTTGCAGTGCTGTGTATGCAACACGGGGGTTCATCACATGGCTGTCAATCACTCCACCAAAGGAAGTCATCGCCAGCAATATTGAACATTATTTTCTGGGCTTTTGTTTGTGGTTTTGTCTTATTGTTGTTTGACTCAGGGTCTCACTATGTTGTCCAGGGAGACTTGACTTGGTGCTGGAATTACAGGTGTGCACCACCAGGCCTACTGAGCCCTCCTTTCAACTATCATGGCATAATTAATCGCTTGTCTTGAGTTTGGCAATGGGGGCACATACTGGAATTTTGGCAGCTTATTCTCCTCACAGAGCAGGGTCAGACTGAGGCGCTAAGGTGTGGCGCTGAGGACCTGTGTCCCACACATTCACGGACTGGAGGGCGCCCAGGTCTGCTGGAGGGGTGATGGGACAGGGATCCCGCACCCCACAGCCCCCCAGCTTGACTCCCCGCAGGAATCAAAATCAGCTCCACAGCAGGTGGAGATGCAGCTGAGGCTGCGGCTGCCGAGACTGCACTCCAGGCTGCGGGCGGCTGTGGAGAGACGGGTGCTGGATGCCCACAGTCAGCTGCCCGGGGCGGGCTGGAGGGCACCGTGCAGGCGGGTACTATGGAGGAGGAACAGACTCCAGGCAGCGAGGAGTTCCGGGCGCCATTGCTGTCCCCCGCCTCCACCCACACCGCAGCCCGCGCTCCGCCCTGCCCACAGCTGGCGCCATCCCACAACGTCACCATTGCGTGGCAGGAGGTTCCCGGGATTCCCACGCAGCCTGCAGCGGCCGGAAATCGCACAGCCAGGGGGTACTCAGCAGGGCGTTTCTCAGCACTGCGCTCAGGATCTGGACTCTGAAGCCCGGAAACACGGCTGTCCACCCTCGGGCCACCTGATTGGACAGGTCAGGCAGGGCGCCCCTCAACACTGATTGGCTCCTGCTCCAGCGCCCACCCTCTGGAGCTGAGAGTGACAACTGAAGCCGGTCCTTACCGGTGCCTGCAACTGAAAGATTGTAACCCAGAGGCTTCCTGACAAGTTAGTCTCCCAGGATGCTGACCTGGCCTGGCCTGCATTTAAGAAGAGCTTACTCCTGGCTTTGCAGAGCTGCCTGTGTCTACTTTGTGTTGCAAACAGGGTCTTTGCTATGTAGTTTAGTCTGTTCATGAGATCAGTATGGCTCAGGCTGGACTTGAGAGCTCACCGTGATCTTTCTGCTCCAGCACAGTGCTGGGATTACAAGGATGCAACACTATGGCTGGCTACACCAGTTTTCTCACGCGACACAGTGGGTTCTTCCTCTGTGCTGTTTTTCCAGATGGGGTCACTAGTCAGCTAAGCCCCTTTCAGTTCATTCAGCAAAAATACCATTGAAATTAACAATAGTTGCCTCATCAAAATAAACTACCAGATATGCCAGCCATTTCTTTAGAAGTTTATATAAGTAATTTTTCTCTATGAACGTTTCTCATATGAATATTATTCAGGGTGATTCCAGCAACTCTTTGCATATGAAGGCCACTCTTCAGAGAAAGCACTATGGCTAGTAGTAAGGACTTCTGAAACAGCGAAACGCAGTAGACAGCTGATATATTTGCCAGCTGCTTTCCGCAGCTCTGTAGCTTGTAGCTGTCACCACTTTTTCTAGAGCTATTCTAAGAATCTGGAGGCAACATCCCAAAACCAGGAAGGCCCCAGGGGAAATTCACAGCCCTTTCTGTTGGCACTCAATGTATATCTCAGTTCCAAGTCACTGGACTTAAAGCTGTGCTCTCCTCCAGTTTTAGGGTTCCTTTGCCTGGTAGAATAATAAAGCTAAAACAACATCTCTGGGGAGACTATATAGATCAGTGCCACGATCAAGTACTGAAAATTTGGGGCCATTTCACAACCCATTCAATTCTCCGAACTGACCTGTGCACAAGATGAATAGGACTTGGAGAATGATGGTAGATGCTCTGAATCTGAATCAAGTGGTGATGTCAAAGTCAGCTGTTGTACTAATGATGGTTTCCTTGCATGAGCAGATCAACAACTTTCCTGGTACTTCGTATGCAGCTGCTGATTTGCTGAATTCCTTCTTCTCTATCCCTGTTCTTAAGGCCCATCAGAAACAATGTATTTTCAGCTGGCAAGTCAGCAGTACACCGTGCTGCCCTAATTCAGGATTATGCTATCTATCTAGCCTTGTATAGCAACTTAATGCATAGGGATCCTGATCACTTTTCACTCCCACAAGGATCACTCCGGTGCATTAAATTGATAATAAATTGGACCAACTAAGTAGGAGGTAGCGACCACTCTAGATTTGTTAGTAAAGTCTTTGAAAGCCAGAAGATGGGAGATAAATCCAACTCAAATTTCAGTTTTTTCTACCTTAGTGACATTTCTAGGAGTACAGAGATGTGGAGTATGTGGATACTTTATTTCTAAGGTAAAAGGTAGTGTCTGGCTCCACCTATAGTGAAAAAAGAGGCACAGCACTAGTGAGCCTTCAAATTCCCCACTTTGGCATTTTACTCCAGGTCATTTACTGAGTGCTTGGCAAGCTGCTTGTTTTGAGTGGGAGCAGAACAAGAAAATTATCTGCAACACATCCAGGCTGTTGTGCAAGCGGCTCTGCCATGGCGGTTTTATAATCCAGCAGATCTAATGCTACTCAAAGTATTGGTGGCAGGTAAAGGTGCTGTTTGAAATCTCTGGCAGGTTCTCATATATGAATTGCAGTGGAGATCTTTAGAATTTTGGAGCAAGGTTCTGACATGTGGTGCAGACAACTACTTTCTCTTTTAAAAAAAACTGACTGTATGACACCAGGTTACCCATATGACCTGATTTACCTATCATGATATGAGTATTATCTAATCCATTGTGCCATAGATTTGAAAAGCACAGCGACAGTCTGCCATTGGATAGCAATGGTATATGCATAATTGAGCCAGGGTGGGTTCAGAGGGTACAAGTAAGTTATATGAAGAAGTTGTCCAAATGCATATGGCTTCTTCTGGCCTAATTCTGTTCATTTCTCAACACGCACCTATGGCCTTATGGTATGTACCATATGATCACCTGTCAGAGGAAGAGACATAGGATCTGATTTACACATGGTTCTGATCTTTATGCTAGTACTTCCACCAAACAGACAGCTGCAGCATCACAGCCTCTTTTCTGGGCATCCCCGAAGTACACTGGTTAAGTACAGTCTTCATAGTGGCCAGAAATCTGAGCAGTGAACGTGGTAGCTCATTTTACCTGGAAGGAGAAATTAACAGATGTGTCATTATATATGATCCATCGGTTGTAGCCAATGGTCTGGGGTGAAGGTCAGGACTTTGGAATGAACATGACTGGAAAGTTAGTTTCAAAGCTATTTGAGCATGAAGGCCACCAGATATTATTTTCCATAAATTCTTTCCCTGTGGGGAAAGGATACAAAAATATTTGCATCCAAAGGAAACCCTCACCAAAATGTGATCTCAGCAGAAGAGGACTTTAATGATTGGTGGGTGAGATGACCTATTCTATTACTAATGCTCAACCTCTTTCTCATCCACTCTGTCACTGCCTATTGGGCTCATGAGCAAAGTAGACATAGTGGTAAGGGTGGAAATTATGCAAAGAATCAACAATATAGACTCTTACTCATGAAGAAGACATGGCTACTGTCTCTACTTAATACTCAATATGCCAGAAGCAGAGACCAACTCTGAGTCCCTGATATGGCATCATTCTCCAGGGTGACTAACCCATGACCTGGTGGCAGATTGGCTATATTGAACCACTTCCACAATAGAAGGACGTGCTTTACCATTACTGTTATAGACACATATTCTGGATATGGATTTGTCTCCCCTGCATATAAAGCTTCTGCCAAAATTACCATCTGTAGACTTACAGAATGCTTTATCCACCATGATAGAATTCCAGACAGCATTGCATCTGATCAAAGAACACATATTATGACAAAAGAAGTGAGATAATGGGCTCATATTATGGAATTCACTGGTCTTACTGTATTCCTCACCATCTGGAATCAACTGGGTTCATAGAAATGTGGAATGGCCTTTTGAAGACACAGGTACTCTGCTTTCTGTGTGGCATTAGCCTGCAGGGCTGAGCAAAATTTTTGAAAAGACTGTCTTAAGTCTGCATCTATGATAAGTACTTTGTCTTCCGCTGTCAAGAGTCACAGTTCTAGGTATCAAGGAATGAAAGTGGGAATATTACCACTCACCGTTAGCCACAATCACCTGCTTGTAAAATTTTTTTTCCAGTTCTCAAACTAGCTCTGCTGGCTTATACATCTTAGTTCCAGAGGGCAAAGACTTGTACCAGGAAACACAAAAATTATCATTATTAGAATAGAACTAGAAAGTAAAACTTTCACTTGATAATTTTGACCTCTTCATACCTCAGGAAACAGTCTAAAAAGGGATTTAGAGTGCTGGCAGGGGTGATTGATATAGACTACCAAGGGGAAATTGAAGTATTACCCCACAATGGAGAGAAGGAAGAATGTACTTATAATGAAGGAGATCCCTTAGGGCCCCTCCTAGTATTACCATGCCCTGTTATTAAAACATAAAACTGTGATCAGCATGAGTATCTCTTATTTTTATATTATAAACTTGTACTTTAGTGTGATAGTACCTGGCTGCCATCTCAGTATGTTTTCTTGAGGAATATAGGAAGCCATTTATGTGTTTACCCACTTAGTATCATGAACAGCAAGAAATGTGCATGTGTGAAAATGTGTTGAAATGGGATTTGGACTTACGTTTATGCTCCAGCTAACTGGTTTATATATGTTTACTCACGTAGAACAGAGGCTTCAATAAACCCACACCACTGGGATTTTTGAAAAAAGTTTTCTTTTGATTTTTCAGGTAGAAGCAGCCAATTCAGCACAGAGGTGCACAAAAACCAGACTGACAACTTTTGGAGATCAAAGTGAATCATCAGATTACTCAGACATGGATGAAGAAGATAATCCATTATGGTAAAATGCATACTTTCATAATACAAAAGTGATGTAGGTACACAATGATGCTGTTGCTGACTTTGACATTGGCCATGTGAACCCAAGTTCCTTATGGAACTGAAATGGAACAAGAAATGACTGGAAGAGACGCAGAGACTGCAGACCTCCTAGATTCAGATGATCAAGAAAACAGCAATGTGAGTTCATACTTGACTAAGTGAAATGATCATACAACCAGAAGAAATAATCCAAAGTTAGGACTAGCTCCAAAAATATAGTGAAGAACTTACAACATGCATAAGCAAAATGCAATCCCAGACTCCTGGTCCACCAGGACAAGCCCAGAACTCAATCAGATAGACAAAATTGGAAGTCATATACTGGAGCTTTCTGAAATGATAAGAGCAGAAGTGCAACAAGTGGAAAAGGTTATAGAGAAAACAGTCTTTCATGTATAAAAAGAAACAATGGGGGATGGGGATATAGGTCAGCAGTACAATCACCTGCTTCATAATCACGGGGGCATGAGTTTGAACCCTGGTACCGAAAACAACTCTGGTAACTTAAAATCAAATATATCACAGAAGGCACAAATAAAAGAATAGATGCGCTTAGAAAAATGTTGGAAGCAAAAATATCCTCTTAGGAAAATAATGGAATCCATAAAGCAGATCCAAATAGAAACACAAGTGATTAAAACCTACACTCAACAGATTGAATGATGAAAAGGAAAGTATTGCAGAGCTTGAAGACAGAATTGTAGCTAGTGATCATGAAAAGAAAGATGTCTTAAAAATATCAAGATACCTTGAGAAATCAATCCAACAGCTACAAGACAAAACAAAGAAGAATCATATAAGTTTGACTGTGTCAATAAGAAATCTGGAGAAAGCATGAATTCTATAAAAACTCTTCACAAAATAATGGCAGAAAACTTCCCAAAGGAAAACTCTCAAATTAAGAAGAGCTTGGAGTGAAGTATTCCAAGTCCTAAAAGAACTAACTTTCAACTGAGACTGGTGCACCTTGCAAAAAATATCTTTCAAAATTAATGGAAAAACAAGGAACTTCCATGGCAAAGAACAACTGAAAAAATTGGTGAACACCAAACCAATCCTACGTGGATTACTGATACTCTAGATAGAGATAAAAATTACCACAATTCCAAGAACAACAATAGAAAGAAACCACCAGGCATGACAAGCAAGTAAATGGGGGTGGGGGGAGAAACAGTGAACCAATAGGAAAATATCATGACAAATACAAGCCAGTACATGAGTTATAACCATCAATGTAAATGACCTCAATTCACCAATCAAAAGAAATAGCCTGGGAAAATGGATCAAGAAACAGGATCTGACAATTCACTGTATACAAGAAACACATCTAAATCAAGCTAAATAAATAGACTGAGAGTCAAAGAATGGAAAACAATCTTCCATGTAGCAGGAACACAGAAAAGAGCAGAGGTAGCTATTATGTTTGCAACAATGTGAATTTCAAACCATGAATAAGCAAATGAAGTTACATACTTATTAGGGGAAAAATCAAGAGCTTATAATCATAAATATATATATGCACCTAAATCAGGAGCAGCCAACTATATAAGACAATTATTAATAGACATGAAAAATTAAATAATCAATAACATAATTGTAGTGGGAGACCTCAATGTCCCAATATCACAAAAAGATAGATCAACTAGACAAAAAATCAGTAAACAAATATCAGAACTGAACCAAACTTTTGAATAAATGGACTTAATAGATTTTTTCAGAGTATTCCAACCAACATCATCAGCATACACACTCTTCTCAACTGCACATCCAAAACAGATTGTATACTAGCCCACAGAACATTCATAAGTAAATGCACAGGAATTCAAATTATCCCATGCATATTATATGATGATTGTGCAATGAAATTGGAAATTGATGACAAAAGAAACTGCAAAAACTCCATAAAAACCTGGAAATGAAATAACACCCTCATAAATAATCAGTGGGTCACAGAAGTAATAAAGGAAGAAATTAAACAATATCTACAACTAAAGGAGAATGCAGATGTTCAAGTTACCAGAACATTCAGTATGAAATGAAAACAGTCCTAAGAGGGAAATCTATAGCACTGAATTCTCACATCAAGAAAACAGAATCATCACAAACAAACAACCTAATGTTACATCTCAAGCTTCTATAAAAGGCAGAGGAAGAAAAATCCAAAGACCTATAAGGGAGGAAATTATTATTATTTTTATTTAAAGAAAGAATAAACAAAACAGAAAAAGGGTAGAAATAATACATAATTTCAAAGAAAAAGTAAATTATAAGAAATCACCAGTTGATAATTACATATTGTCCTCTTACAAATAGTTGTGCAGGTTACAAAAGTAAGTATACAAAGTGGACATTCAAACAGTGAGACTAAAAACAGTTCTGTTCAACTATCCAACAAAAACAGTAATATGGTTATCAATCCTATACACTTAAACATACATGCAGTTATCCATACCTTCATGTATGTAAGGATTAAACAAACCGAAGAAGGCTAAAATCACTCTGAACAAAGAAGGGAGAAAATTATAAGGATCAGAGAAGTAATTAATGCAATGGAAACCAAGAAAATAATACAAAGAATTAATGAATCGGGGCTGGGGATTTAGCTCAGCGGCATAAGCGCCTGCCTTGAAAGCAGGCAGTAGTGAGTTCGATCCCTGGTACTGATAAAAACGAAAAAGACCAATAAATAAATAAATAAATAAATAAATAAATAAATAAAAGTAGTTGTTTAGATTACAAGATTTAGGCATAAAAATGATAAGATAATTAAAACACAAATGGTTTAAAAAAAAGAATTAATGAATCAGAAAGTTGATTCTTTTAAATAATAAATAAATTGATTAACTCTTACCCAATCTTATCAAAAAAAGTAAATGCTCAAATCTATGCATTGAAGAATGAAAAGGATGAAATCAGTACAGATCCGTGACATTTCAGTACACCATCAATACCTATGTTGAAAATCGTTGCTCTCATAGAATGGAAAACACAGAGCAAATGGACAGATTCCTAAATACATGAGTTGCCAAAGCTGAACCACGAATACATAAAAATTCAAAATAACCAGTATCAGTCAATCATGTTGAAAATGTAATTAAAAACATACTGACAAGTTCCAGGTCCTGGTGGAATTACCACTGAATTCTATAAGAAATTTAGAGATTTATTGCCAGTACCCTTCAAACTCTTTAATGAATTTGAAAGAGAAGCAATCCTACATAACTCATTCCTGGAGGCAACAATTATCCTGATACCCAAACCAGAGGAAGACTCAACCACAAAGAGAACTACAGACCAAACTCCCTAATCAACATAAGTGCAAAAATTCTCCATAACAAACTAGCAAAAATAATGCAACAAATCATCAAGAAAATTATACAACATGACCAAGTGGCATTCATCCCAGAATGCAGGGATGGGTCAACATATGTAAGTTATTAAATGTAACACATCATATTAAGAGTCAGACAAAAATCACATGACCATCTCAATAGATGCAGAAAAAGGTTATGATAAAGTTCAGCACCCACTTATGATAAAAATTCTACAGAAATTCAGAATGGATGATTCTTACTGCCATCTGATAAAAGCCATCTATGACAAATCAACAGCCAACATCCTACTAAATGGACAAAAACTGAAAGCTTTCACTATAGAATCAGGAACAAGACAAAGATGTCCACTATCACCGTTCCTATACAATATAGTTCTGGAAATATTAGCCAAAGCAATTAGACAAAAGAGAAATAAAAGGAGTAAAGATAGGAAGGAAGAAGTTAAGGTATCATTATTTGCAGATGACATGATACTTTTACATAGAAACTCTACCAAAATGCTACCAAA